ATTTTACACATTTACCCTTGTCCCTTAAATTTTTAATTTTAACAAATTACTTTTTCAACTTGTAAAATTGTTGCAATATGCCTCATTTTGACAATAAGTATGTTATATTAATGTCAAAAAAACACGTTCCACAAAAATTCTAACATCTCAATTCAAATATAACACAAATATTTTAATTCTCAACTTTAAATCTAGTAAAAAATTTGAACAAATTTAATAAAATGAGACATATTACAATAATTTTACAATTTTAAGAGATTTATTGTCAAAATTAAAAACTTAAGAGGTAATTTACTAAACTACCACAAGTTTAGGGGTAATTATGCTAAAAACCATTAACGTTATGCAACCAAAAATGAACTTTGTCACGCTTGGTCCCCGTGAAACTTTCATTATCTTATTGTCCTGTCTAAAGTGTCTGAAACAATGACTTTCACAAAAAGCATCAAAAAACTTATTTCTTTAAGATTGGAAAAAGCGTTCACTTTATGAGATTCGGCGCAAATGTAGCTTTAACGTGTCCCCCCATCTAGCGTATATTATCATAACTAGCGAGGCATGTCAACAAAAAATTCGCGCAACTGGTTAGTGTGAGTCCGTGAGGAGAGTAATTTGAGTTGCTTCTTCTTATAAACTTTTCCTAATTCTATATAGACACTTTTATTTTCATTTTAGGAGTTTTTTTTTATGATTAAAAAAATGAACCATTGGTAACTTTTTATTTTTAACTGTTAAATTTGTATAAAAATTTATTTAGTCTGTATATTTTTTTAATCTAACGTGAGAATCTCATTTTTTTTTTGGTTAAAGACATATTTAGCCGTTTCTTATGGAATGAATGCGGAGAAACACGAGTGAGGGATTAAAATCATGGATTAGAATCATTTTCAATTTACGTGTATTTTTTGTGAGAGAAAACACTGTAATAAACTATGAACCATGATTCAAATCATGATTTGAATCCTCCAACCAAACAGCCTTAGATTCCCTTAGAGCAACTCCCGTGCTATTTTTGGGTTGAAAAAGATGGTCTCCAACCTGGTGGCAATTTTTCACGCCAAATTGCCATGAATGATGTTGGATGAACAGTGGAAAAATGCAAATATGCGCTTCCATCATTCATTCAACATCAAATTTTACATCAGCTTTTGCTTTTTTCCTTTTTTATTTTTATTTTTTGCTACTTTTAATTTGCAAAAAGGATTATACATGAAATATAATTATTTGTGTTATAAATAGTGTAATGAATTGGAAAAATTTACTGTTTGAAGTGAAAGTTGCACCACACCATTTTAGTGTTAAGGTTTGGAGATGCTCTTATAACAAAAACCAGTGGGCACCCCGTGCACACCAATATCCAAACGACAATAGCCAGAAAAACAAAACCAACATAAAACGGCACCAAACAAACAAGGGATAGCTCGAAAGCCGATTCAGTTGCAGTGTTTTTCAGCGAGAAAAAGAAAATGAAACAGCAGTGCAATAAAAAACGACAATAAACTAAAAAATTAGGCCAACTAGTAACGAACGAAATTGGAAAAGCGACATGAATAGAAAACGAGAATATGATTTAAAACGATAAAAACCAGAAAACAAAGCAATTATAAAGTATAAAAATGACAAGGTCTTAACGTTACGATACTATACAACTAACTAAAAAACGACAGTACAAGAAAAAAAAACTAAAAAACTTCAGAAAGAGGAGAAACGACAAACAAAAGAATATGATAAATATAAAAAAAAAAACTGACACCGACTATAGAAACGATTAAAAAAACAATGCAAGGTAAAAAAAACGACACAAAAAAAGAAGAAGAAGGTCAGAACTGAAAACAACAACTGACGATAAACCAATTGAAAACGACAAAAAGCAAGAATACCTAACCTTAAAACGACAATGCGTTGGGAATCGTCAAGTCACCAACCAGAAAAACAATAAGCTTAAAACGACACGAATAAAAACTAAGCAACCGAAAACTAGTTTAATATATGTATATATATATGTATTGAATATAAAGCACTTTTTCTTTTTTGCTTGAAATATGGTCTTAGCTGCCCAAGTCCGAACTCGCATGTCCGAAAAATTGAGGCTGCCCGCCCGAACTCGAAGAACCACTTGAACGGGCTTCGGGCAGGTCTTAGCTGCCCAAGTCCGCCCGGGTTGCCCGACTTTTTTTTTATATTTTATAATATTATATATAATATTATTTATTATTTATTAATTGTAAAGAATCACTAATAGCGTCTAATGCAAAGATTTTTTTACTTCTTCCATTTCTCACTTGTTTGTATCATTTTTTAAAATTTTTTATTTTTAATGTTAGCATCCTTATTTTATTTAATTATTTTGAACTGTGGCATGAATGGCTGAGTATAATACCAAAATAAGTTGCAACCTCGTTATTATTTAAACGTTTTATGGACTATCATTGATATTGCTAAAATTCTGGCATAGGGAATGTTCATTATGGCATGTTATAGTTGGAAAAAAATTACAAAAATAATCCTCATTGTTAATTGGCAGTTTGAGGTGTTTGGTTACCAACTTACCATGCTTAGGGACATTTTCATATTGGGTGTATTGAACTTTTGATTTCCTTTATAATCAGTTTGATTTGCTTTCCCAAATCCCAGTTGTGTTATGTCTTCATGCACTCTTCCTTTGTTGGCCTTACAGTTTCAGTATGATAAAAGCAAATATTATGATTTTCGTATTGTATATTGCCATGACTTGGATTTTCTTACTTCAGTATTGAACACTCAAGAAAGGTTACTTCACGGCTTTTATTAGTTGATGTCATATATGAATATGATTTGGATGCAATAATTCGGGCGGGTCGGCTGGGCTTTTCGGGCTTTCGAGCTGTGGGTCGGGTCCGGCATAACATAAATATAAAAAAAAAAAGAGCCGTTAGTGGGCTCTTGGTCGGCCTTTTGGGTGGCCGTACGGCAGGCTTAGGGGCGGGCTTCAGGCTTGGAGGTTCTAACGGATGACGGGCTTTATTCAACCTCAATTTTTGAGGCTGCCCGAGCCCGAGCTCAGCTACCCTCGCTGAATGGGCAGACAACGGGGCCTGCCCGCCGAGCCCGAAAAAATTTGAGCTTCGGACAGGCCCACGGCCCAAAGTTTCAGCATTGCTCAGGGGATTTTTTTGGATCACACGTTTGAAGGTTACTTGGAAAAAGGGAACAACGACAGTAAACTGATAAACCTCATCCATATTACGCCAACTGGTCCTTTGTTCCCTCAATCCATCCTTCATTGGCTCGATCAAATTTTTATTGTCGTTTTCATTCTATCGTCTAAATATTGCTTTAATGGAGAGGAGGCTTTATGAATAACGAATTTGTTTTTTAATGCTGCATTTAAGTTAATGTTTGCTTTATTTAACGGTCCGAATTTTCTTGTGCCAAGAAATCGACAACAATATCAAATAAAACAACATCATTGGAGAAAAAAGACAATCGGAAAAGAATAAGACACTAAAAACGATAGCATCATGAGAAGACGACATTACTTTATAGAAGGGCCAAAGAGAGAGAGAAAAATGCAGCACTAAAAAAAAACAACATAAAAACGACAACAATGGGAAAATAAAACCAACTGGAAGAGACCACAATCTCAAACGACGAATAACATAAAAAGGACGCGGAGCAAAATGATGTAAATAGAGCAAACGACGGTACCTTGATGAACAACATCAATTAAAAAGGTCGCCGACTAGAAAAATCACAAGAATCTCAAAACTACAATAACAGAAGTACAACTTAAATGGAAAACGACAATAATCTCAAAACTACAATAACAGAAGGACAACGTAAACGGAAAAGGACAATAACTCGAAAAGAGGAGCACATAAGAAACAGTGCCAACTAAAAAAGACACTTCCAGAGCCAACAAAAAAAAAAAGAATGAAAGTTAAAAAAAAAAAAAAAAAAAAAAAAAAAAAAAAATTACCGAGTCGAATGTCATTTATGCATTGCAATTACAAAAGAGCCCTCGGATGGACAGCTGTCTTGTCGCTAACGGTTGAGATGTCGGTTAAAACAAAGCGAAGTTACGTAAAAGCCCTTTAATGAACAGCTGTCTCATTTTTATTGGTGTGATTAATATTTACCATGCACCGTGCGCATTTAAAAGTTGCCGTAGGCGGTGCCGATCTCTCTCTCTCTCTCCCTCATGTGAGAGGAAGAAAACAAGGAAGTTACAGTTCCTGGCGCCAGATCGCAGAGCACTCGCGCCACTTCGCTCTTCCTCGAATTTGATTGGGGCTTTTGCAAACCCCTTGATTATCCCCATTTTTCATTTCATAAACCCTAACAATTGAATTCAGAGGCGAAAAGGGAAGAGTTAAGACTCAAGAGTAAACGAAGATATCGACGGCGACGCAAAAGATGCTCGGAGATGGCGAGGAAACTCCTTCAAGGTATGTCTCGATTCTACGTTATTCAATTAGGGTTTTAATTCGTTTACCTTGTTCCGCGATGTGGTTTCACGCATTTTTGCAAATTTGAGTTCAATTTCTGCAATTGGACTCCCTGACATTGCGGATTGCTTTAGAATCGGAGTTTGCACGGTTCGAAGATCTTTTTCTTTGGAGAATTCGATGAACATTGCGAAGTTCTCGAAGAAAATTTGTTTTCGTGTCTGCACTGCAATATTGCTTTGATTTTTCATCTTTTCTTCTTTTTTAAAGCTATCTGCGTTTGGAGTCAACGAGATTTTGGACTTTGAAAATCTTGAATTATAGTTGGTAATTTTGAAATGTTTGTTTCGTAGGTCTGAATTGCTGAGTATGGTGAAGAGAAACTCAAAGTTATTAGGTAAAACTGTACTTGATGAGGAAAACAGTTCAGATGTTGAAAGGGATCCGCGGTTCTGGCATGACGTGCTGGATTTGTATTTTTTTCGTGGTAAGGAATCCAGGAGGCGACAAGACGACGATCTTGTATTTCTAGTCAGAAAGTTGGTACGTAATTTGTGGTTTCATTTGTTACATTTCGCCCTTTTATTGTCTTTTTTACCTTTTGTGTGTGTGTGTGTGTCTTTTATTGGCATTGTATAGAAATTCTGAGGTTTCTACTTATTATTGGACAGGGCTCTCAAGGATATGGTTCCAATGATGATAAGGAAGATGTTTCTCCTTACTTTGTACGCAGGTGGGCACCTAAGGTAAAAGCGCACATAAATCCTGTTTGGCAATGTGTATAGTTTGTACGGGTTTTTTCATGTAAGGAATCAAGTGATAAGCATTTTATAGATGTTTTTAATTAAGAAACATAATAAAACTGCAATGTCTACTGCTTTCACATCAAGATAACCTTCTACACTTCTGTCAAACAGTTGGATAATGTAGTCGGCGAAATTTCAGTTGACGTGGATTGGAGGCGCTCATTTTACTTGAACTTGATTGCTCACACTTCGTTTACTGTTACAGTGGCTATTTGCAGGTAAGTCATCCTCTATTTTGATCAAGTTAAACATACAACCTTCTGTCTCATTATGCATTTAATACGATACCTCCTTTTATTAGTCTTGTTGTTTATATCACGAAAACTTTCTGGATACATCTTCATTGCATAGGTTTTTAATTATTTCTTTTGTCAGTTCTTGTGTTTTCTAAAAATAAAAAGTGAACGTACTACACCTAATGTAGGAACTTTGTTTTTTCCCCTTCTAAGTTCTCTCATAGCATTAATTAATTAGTCTTGTTTTCAGTCACCAGGAACTTCTTAATCATCAAGCTGCCAGAGATACGCCATTATCTCCTATATATAAGGTATTTTCCGCCTTAGTCCTGTTTAAGTAACATGACTATAGCCAGGTTTATTCATCTGTTACTATTCCTATTTCTTCTTTTTATCTTCTTTTGCATAATCTTATTAATTCTGATGGCTTCTGAACCTAAGCTTATGGGGAGAAGCTTGACTCTTAAATTCATGCTTGCTCAACTATTTTTTCCAATGACGTAGTTAAATACTTTTCTAGGTGATTATTTAATTTGGAGCATGGGCCATTGTGCTTTTCAGGTTGTAAAGACTGTTTATGCATCCCCAACCCGTGTTAATTTTCAATTGGATTCAAAGAAGGTAAATTATTCAGTGTCAAAAATATCATAGACTTTAGTATAATCTTCCCCTTTATTCTGATACTAAGTCTAAGATATATTCAGGAAGCGGAGACAAAACCTGCCTATCCAGACATTTGTTTTTCAGTTGACGATTTTGACTCCACTTTTGATGCTGTGGTATTATAACTTTTCTTTGTTGAATAAAAGTTCTGCCTATTTTGGTCATTTCTTTTGATCTTGTGGTATTATATTGTTTTCAGCTTAGCAACCTCTATAACAAGTAATTTGTTTGCTTCTTTAATTGTAGGTGCTGACAGAAACAGACCATTGCTACTGCGTACTTCTGAACGCAGATGGTGGTGCAGCATTTCCTGTTGACAACAAGCAACACGATTCCAGTTCTACTGATAGCTCCTCTAGGAGGACGGACACTAGTAATGCAAATACTAAAAACACCAAGGTTTTTGTCTAGTGGGCTATTGAAAAAGATTTTATTTCTTCAAGAAACAGTGGTTTTATTGTGTTATTCTTAAAACATTGACTGGTATTGATGGACGTTTAAGACATGCTGGCTGCTACATGATCTAATTGGCAATGATGGTACTCTGAATGAGTTGCTCTGACTTACTCATGGCTTTGATTGCAGCTTACCCTGTTCTCGGGATTTGTTAGTTATCAAATGGTTCGAGATGCCTACGATGGTATATTGTTCTCCAAGTAACTTTTTCTTATTTTCTTTAAACCAAGTATTGATTGCGATGAGCTGTTTGGACGGCATGATTTTAGTAGTATTATTTTAATTATTTTGTGTTAAGCTCCTCCAGGCAAATGGTTTTATGTTCACAAATTATTTGTAATATATGTGTTCCTAGATTAAGTGTTCTAGATGGGGCATAGCGTGCACTAGTGTGTGGCTATGCATTTTTGTGCAATCAAGGCCTTATCATGTTAAAACTTGGTCAATTTACCGAATTTTGGTGCTTCTGCTTTCTTGTTAAAAGGTCTTCAATCAGGAAACGACGTTATTTCTATTTATCTGTTGAAAAGGAAAAAATAAAAATAAAAGAAGAAAAAAAGAAAAAGCTAAGGCTGCATATATTCAAGTCTATCCGATGCTTTATAAGTTATAACGGTGAACTGCTTTACTCAGTTCTCTTTCTCTCCATTTCTCTGTAAAAGCTGACAGGTCTCGGTTTGGAAGCCTTCTTGCATTTCGTAATTCCCCTGGCAAAACAGATAGACTTTACATGAAAGGTCCTGGAGGTCGTGGGGAAGTTGACGTAGCAGTTTCTGGTGTTGCAGGTAAGAACCTTATGTTATATATGATCTTAATATACAAACTCTTATGAATAGTCTACCAAACATACCTAGCAGCTAGTGTCTTGTTTGACTTGGGTGCTATAATTATCACTAGTGTTTTGTATGTTGAATGTTATTTTTTCTTTGGTTCATGATATCAGATCAAAGTCATCAAGACCCTGGTCCCTTTTCACCTGTCGTATCAAAACGGGGATTTGGGATAGGCTCAATTGTTCGCAAAGCAGCAGCTGTTGCCACTGTGGCAGCAAAGCATGCATATGCAGCAGCTGCTGCCAGCTCAAGTCTTGATGAGGAGATGGTTCCTCTTAAGTGCTGCTTAATGTCTATATCATTACCTTGGGAATACATCGCTAATGATCTTTTGTTCAAGGTAAGGTTGTTACTTCCTGCTCCCCACTGTCCAATGAAGTAATAAATGAAGTTGGTTTCCCTTTCGGAATCTTAATTCATATTCCTTTCCAATCCATTTAACTTGCCCTGTAGGACAATTAATCTTAACTATGCTATCGGATTTGTGCAAGAGATGTTAGGACTTCCAATTCTTTTCTTTGCATTTTGTTTTGGTTACTTAAAGCGATGAATTTATTTATTGATCACTCATTTCATTATCCAAAGGTTACTTATTTTTATCGCTTTCTATAACACAGGGAAGTCCTCCAGTGAACTTGTAAGCATCTTGTATTTTCATTGGTTGAAAATCAGACATAAGCATCTTGTGTTTCCATTGGTTGAAAATCAGACAACACCACGTGGCAGAGAAAGCGTGGGATTAGAGTATTAGAGATGTGGGGTCAGTCACCACTTACAATGTCATATACGAGACTTCAATTCTGGTCTCATTTTGAAAGTCTGTCTCTCAATCTCCTTCTGCATTTGGGTTTATTGTGTTAAACGTTTTCATCGAGTTGAAATTTTTGTCAGTTTACCTAGCCCGATGATGCAGACAGATAATCTACGGGTTTGTGAAAATATGTTGCAAGACCGTTCCAAAAAAAAAAAAAAAAATGTTGCAAGACATTGGGTATATTTGGTAGTGATTCTTGGAGCTCAAAATTAATTTTCTAGCCATCCACAACTGAAATTTGTGTTTGGTAAAAATCATAAAAAATGATTATTATAGAATTTTTGAAGAATTTATAATTAAAATAAAAAACAGTCCAAAGGCAACTTTGGCTTTAAGATTATGCGGCAATCACCTTGAAGTACAATTAATAAAACTTTCATAATACTCATAATACCTTTAGAATTAATACTTGTATAATTATAGTTTACTAAACACTTAGTTGTTTTTTGTAACAATTTTTTTTTTTTTCGGCACAGTTAACATTAATTTTTTTACAGCACTACCAAATTGGTCCATTAGCGGTGTACATCAGCTGTATTTCCATGTTGAATATAGTCAGGTTATTATTGCAAAGGTGTGATATTCAAAAATAAGAATGGAGTTTAGGCCTTGTTCAGTTCGTTGATTCGAGTTTTCAATTCGAGTTGAGATGTGATTTTATGTGAGTTTTTAACTGTAGTAAAAAAATTATATGTAACTTTTTGTGAGAGTTTTTAATTAGAGGTGTAAGAATTTGGGTCGAACTCAACTAACCCGTCCGACCCAACCCGACCATACCCGAATTTTGTGTGTGTGTTTTTATTTTTCATTTTTTGAATTCAAATAAGCCCAACCCGCATATTGCGGGTTGGGCCACGGGGCGGGCTTCCTTTGGCCTGATACTCCCCGACCCGGTCGAGTGAGATCAATGGGAAAAAAAACCCTAAATGCCATTGACTCAGTGATATCTCACTCTCACCTCTCTTTCTCGCGCCGTTGAGCATCTCTCCAAGTCCTCAGCCTCTCTCTCTGTCTCTCACTTCTCGGTCTCTCTCTCTCTCTGCTAGCCTCGCCGTCCCTACTCCCTCGCCATTTCTTCTTAGAAGGAGAGCTAGAGGCTCTCAGGCTCAGCCTTTCTCCCTCTCACTACCCAAATACTCGAAGGAAGCAACACAAGATTTTCTTGCACATGGGTCCCACAAATAGTGGCAAGACTCACCATGCTCTCAAGAGACTTGAGTCAATTGCTTCCGGTAGTTTAATACCCAACAATGGAGTTGGTTTTGATAAACGGAAGGGAGAGTAATGATGCGAAAAAAAAAAACTAGTAAGATTGTTCGCTTATTTGCTTTTTTTTGCAGGAATGTTTTGTGCTCCTTTGAGATTGTTGGCTTGGGATGTGGCTAAACGATTGAACAAGGCAAAAGTTCCTTGTGATCTACTTACCAGACAGGAGAGAGAGGAGATTGAGGGTGCAAATATGTTTCAGATGTTGTTTTTGGACATAGGTCCAATGTCCAGGCCCAAGCCGATCAATCCAAGTAACTTGAGCCTACCCGAGGTCACCAAACGGGATACGGATTTGTGGTCTGATGTTGCGGCCCAAAGTTTTCTCAACCCGCACTGTGCGGCTCGGCCCAACCAGAGCTTATCCGGCCAAATTACACCCCTATTTTTAACTATAGTAAAATTAAAATTAAAAACTCGAATCGATGAATGAACGTTGCCGTAATAGTCGGCGGTTTCTTTTTTCTTTTCCCCCATTTCTATGGCCAGGGGCCCTAGAGCTATATAGGATATGATTCTCTAAGGCTAGCCTTTAGTCGATTGCGTGAGCTTATCCGGCCAAATTACACCCCTATTTTTAACTATAGTAAAATTAAAATTAAAAACTCGAATCGATGAATGAACGTGGCCGTAATAGTCGGCGGTTTCTTTTTTCTTTTCCCCCATTTCTATGGCCAGGGGCCGTAGAGCTATATAGGATATGATTCTCTAAGGCTAGCCTTTAGTCGATTGCGCCTTTTTATTTGTTTGGCCATTTTGGATTCAATAAAAGTTGGATTCTTGTTTTTGTTTTTTGTTTTGTTATTTTTTTCCTTTTTCTTTTTAACTGAAAAATTAAAGAAGCTTTATTCGAGAGTCGGTTACACGCCAATCATGTATTCAAGGTGCAACTTTGCGGTTATTTGTACAAACAAAAAACTGCATTTTCTGGAAACCAAAATTGAATTGTTAATTACATTGAAACAAGATTCTAGAGAGAGAATCACCATGTAAGACTCAGTGGACTACAATAAACGACTCCTTTTGTTTACTTAAAAAGGCAGACCGTTCGAAACCAACAGTAAACTATTTAACAGCATTTGACGTTTTGGACGGTGCTTTTTGAAAATCAGATTATTGGAAGAAAAATGTACCTAATTTAGTGGGTTGGCTCTACCCCGCCAGTTTGTTGCTTGTTCTTTATATGCGAGTCTGACGGCGACCAGAAGAAGAAGAAGAAGGAAAAAAGGAAAAAGAAGAATTGTAAAGATTATAGGTCATACTACCATAGAAACCAAGAAATGTTGCTACTATTTTTAACCAAGTAACAGCTTGATTTTCTTGAAATCTGGCAGTATGAAGTACTGCCAAATTAATGCAGACAGGGGGCGGCAAAAGAGAACAAAACCGAGGTGCAGATGCAGAGCAGAAGAGAGAAAGCATAATGAAAGCAGGCGAAAAAAAAAAAAAAAAGAAGCAAATATACTTGTTTTAAAATTGATCGAAGCACATGAAGCCTACTTTGGATTTGGAACAACAGCTGACAACGCTAAAAGCAAGACAAGGATGCTTAGATTCGCTTCCATGTTCGTAGATTAAGGTTTTGACGTTTAAATAACTAGAGAACGTGTGCATGTTAGCCTCCACTCATAATGGCTTTGGACTTTTGCTAAAGCTATACCACTCCAAGACGAATACTAACTTCCAACTAAAAAACTACCAAGAATATTGCTAACTAAGAAAACTGCCCCCATATATATTCTTGGGATGAATTTTTAATTTTAATTTTCTTGGTCCTGAGTTTTCCACTACTTGGAACCTATGGATTTAATTTTTTGTATACCAAATTAGTCTTACTTTGGAAGACCTTTTCTTTTTCCCCCTCTTTCTTTAATTCATTTATTTTTCGTAAATGAAAGTAAGACACAGCTTTGTAAATCAGTTTTCAGTGAACAAGAACTGTCCAAGTAATAGCCGATGTAACATGCAGTGAAAAGGACCAGCTTATAAGAAAACAAGAAAATGTATTTATACAAGCAGTATTATTTTATATAAGCATTTTTTTTAACGGTAGGACTTGGGGGCCGAAATAGTGAAAAGAAAAGCCTCAAACAAACACACTGGGTTGCTCTTTTGCATTTTGAGTTAGGTATTTTTGAGTGAAGATCTTGAGTTGAGTTTGAGTTATAACTTGAGTTGAAGTTGTAACTTGAGTTTGTGTTTGATTGTGTACATTTGAGTTATGGTTTGAGATAATAATCTTTTTAAGTGTGTGTTTGAGTGAGTCAAAACTTGAATTTATATTTAGATAGTATTTTAATAAAAACTCAATGGTGATGGAAAATTTAATAGGGTATATAGATGTGGTTTTATTCGTCTTTTCGTTGTCAACGTATAGAAAAAAAAATCATCTCAATCAGAACTAAAACGAAAAAGTTATAACATTTTTAAGAATAGAAAAAATGATGTTCATTAATTTAAGTTTGAATTTCTGAACTCGAGTTGAAAGGGAAACTTGAACTCGAGTTTTAGTCATAAACTTGAGTTCAAATTCGAGTTCAAACTTAAAAGAACATAAACTTAAATAAAATTGTAACTTGAATTTTTTTTTTTTTTGAGTTTTATTAGCTGCCGAACAGCCCCTTAATTGAAAGCAAAATTTTTTTTTTTTGAGTTTTATTAGCTGCCGAACAGCCCCTTAATTGAAAGAGAAATTCCTGATCGTATACTTTCACATAAGAAAGAGAAATTTCTGTTCATGAAAGAGAGGAAGTGAATCCACTCCCAAGCTTTTACCCCCTCCGACCAAACAAAGGAATGACCCAATCCTTCCTCACCTTTTCCTCAACCCCAATCCATCTTTCCTGTCTTCCTACCAAAACACACCCTTAAGGATAGAAAGTAGAAAGGAAAGACAGAGTTTAAGGCATGAAAAGTAAGAATGATAGAAAGAGTTATATATGGCTTATTTAGTTTGATGATATGAGTTTTTAATTCGAGTTGAGATGTGATTTTATGTGAAAATTTTTTACTGTAGTAAAAAAATTAAATGTGATTGATTTTGAGAGCTTTTTACTATAACAAAACTCGAATCGGTGAAATGAACGAGACCATAATAATCATTTATATTGTTTAGTAGGAGAGAAGAAGAGTGAAAAAATAGATAATATTTATTTATTAAATTACTATAAATTGAATATCATTTTGGAGTTTTGCGCACTCTGAAGTCTGAACATATCCACGTGTTATCAGTTTATTAGTTCACTAATCCACCTTTCACTTCCTCTTTCTCATTTTAATTTCTCCCTGTTTTTAATTTTTCAATACCATTTCGGTGTACTCTGTGGGATAAAGTACGTCTAGTTCCGTTATACACATAATTATATACTTTGGTCCTATTCACTTCGTTGATTCGAGTTTAGAATTTGAGTTTTTTTACAGTAAAACTCTCACAAATAATCACATCTAATTTTTTTACTACAGTAAAAAATTCTCACATAAAGTCACATCTCAACTCGAATTCTAAACTCGAATCAGCAAAATAAACGGGGTACTTGTGAAAAGTAATTTCAGTTTAATTTTCTCTCTTTTATGACAGTACTATATATTAATTGTTGTTAATGAATACTAGTATGATTCTTCGTGATTAAGCTAAGCAAATCAGCTGAATGACCCCACCCTCTCTCTTTTTCGTGGAGAAAAAAAAATAAAAAAACAAAACAAAAGAAATAACAGACCCACCCACCACCAATATATTGCCACACCCGACACAAAAGCTGCACGTAATGCAAAAGACAATAAAAATAATTATTTTTTATAGAAAAGGAGAAAATTATTAAAGAATTTTTTTAATATCTGGTTCTTGTAAAAATACTTTTCTCGGACCAAAATACCCTTACTTCTCCAAAATCTTTTGCTTGGGTGGATCCCACGTGCTCTGCAATTTCAACTATAAGTACCGACCCCCCACTCTTCGATCCCTCCCTGTTCTCCTCCCTTCCTCCCTCCCTCCGGTTCACTCTAAAGAAGTTGCTCAAAATTAGTGAACCATGTTTTTCTCCGAAGAAGAAGCGGTCCAGTGTTCGGTTTTCGAATCCGGTCTGACGGTCGAGGAGCTCTTGTCGTTGCTCGAACCGGGGAACTCCAACAACAGCCAGAACTCCGGTTCGGATGGCTCGAGCCGGGCGGTCTACTCGGTCGTCGAGAGGAAGCACCGTCGCATGATATCGAACCGGGAGTCGGCCCGGCGGTCCCGCTGGAGAAAGAAGAGGCATCTAGAAGACCTGACGGACCAGCTGAACCGGTTGAAGCAAGAGAACCGGGAGCTCAAGAACCGGCTGGGCCTACTAACCCACAGGTGCCACGTGGCGTGTAGAGAAAATGACCTTTTGAGTGCCGAATTCTTGGCCCTAAGTTCCAGACTTTCGGATCTGTGCCGGATTTTGGTTGCCATGCAATCACAACAATAATTAATCCCATGCATGCACGTACACACCAATCGTTAACCCTAATGGTCGACGATCATCTTATAAACTAAATTATTAGGCTCTAATAAAGCTCTAACTAGGGCAATTTGAGCTCATACTCTCTCTTTTTAATCTAGCACTAACAGCACTGAGACTGGGGCCTGTTGTGCTGCAGGCGCTGAAACCGATGTTTGTTTTATTAGATTGTGAGCCCTGGCAAAAAGTTGGTGCTCTTAAGAAGAGAGAACCCCACGTTGCCATGTAAAAGATTTGGAGAGTGTTTTGCCTCTTTGCTTTTTGGTCACGTTGGAGACGGCCTTTTTTAGCAGCTTTGTGAACGTGTTTTGCTGCTGAACAAGTTAGGCCCCACTGATCATACGTATTTAGAGAGAGAGAGAGAGAGAGAGAGAATTATATGTCATAAATATATAAATTACGTTGTTTAGTCTCAGTTTTCTTTCTTTCTTTCTTTTTCATTATCTCAGCCGTTCGTGCTATCTTATGTAAATATTTTGCTTCTTTTTCTTTTTGGACGAATTGTTGATTAATGCAATATTATATATATTATGTGTTTGTTTCTCCACCGTCGATTCCTCAACCGTCTCTTTTTTTTTTTGGGGGGTGCACAAACTTACATGTTGTTTAATGTTTATTGGTTGATGTAATTAATGACTATAAATATAGCTATCGCTTTTTGGTACTGTTGGAGATCCAATCTTTTTCCCGTCTTGGTGCATGTGTAACTTTGAAAGCTTTAGTTCTAGTAAATAGTACTAATGCTACTACTCATGATGGTGTCAACTTTATAGATGTGTAGTTGCTACGTTGAATGTATGGAAATGCATATGCTCAATAATTCGCGAATATTACTGCTTACTTTTTCCTGTTCTTTTATCACGTATTACCCTGGTAAGAATATTCCATATTTTAATTAAAAAAATTCCTCGCTCTCGACACCACCAAAATGAACAAAAACAAAAAAGGGGATCATACCATGTAATAAACAACTCAATTTTAATTTGGGTCACAACCATATTAATACTGCTATATAATTAGGACCCACGAAACGACAACACCTACCTAAAAGATTGACGTACTTGATTTAAAAAAAAACAAAAAAGTTGACGCGTTGTTGATGAAGTAGTACTTTAAAATGCTTGACCAGCATAATTAATGCGGTTTCGCTTTATTCTACTAAACAATTGATAGTTTTAGTTATTTCTTGATCTGATTAATTTTTTTCTTTTTTCACTCTAAAATATTCGTGGGAAGAAATATGATTTTTCTGGAATTCGAAAATAGTATAGTCTAAGACTTCTTTGTTTAATAATAGGGCCGATAATTTTGGACACGACACGATGAAATGGTACGAAAATGACACGAGATAAATAGCTTTGGACCGCACGATTATTAAGTGGATCGTTAACAGGCTGACACAAATAACATGAAAATAAATGGGCTGGATTCGTGCAAGTTCGTTTAACATGCTTAACCCGTTTAGTTATACGGGCCGTTATCGAGCCGACATGACACGACATGATATGGCCGCCCGTTTAAAATGTTTTCTTTTTTCATGAATAGATTAAAGCAACTAGAAATTTTTAGAGTGTAGTTGGCATTCAACCTCAAAAAAGACATTTTCCTATATTTATTTTATGTTTTATGCACTTAAACATTCAAATGTTAATGTTTTGAAACGTATTTATATACATGATAATCTGATAGTATCATATATATATATATATACACGTGTGTGTTTGATATTCAGATATTTTTATGTGTGTTGGCTATTAAGGAGAATTAGAAAATTTATGTTTTTCTTATTATATAGTCGCCATATTTTAACTATAAGTGATATTAAGTAGTCAATTAATATTAGTTTTAAATACACTATAAAATTTCACTATTTTTGCTAGTTGGGTCATAAACGTGTTTTTTTTGTGCTGACCCGCCACGGCTCGTTTAATAACGGTGTTTGCATGTCGTGTCGTGTTAACCGTGTTATTAACGTTCCGTGTTTGTGTTTAGATTTCTGACATGTTTATTAATCGTGTCGTGTTCGTGTTTACTATAATCGTGTTGTGCCATAATCGTGTCGGCCTAAACACGACACTTTAACACGAATTGTCCGCTCTTTTTAATAGCACTGAGAGATTTAGGTAGGAGGTTGCGGGTGTTTAAAAAAAATAGTATAAAGGCTTCGCAATTTAGTTCACACCAATATTACTATGACTCGATTTAATTAGTCATGTAATGACGCATATGCATATATATATATATATATGTGCAGCTGCTAGCTGGTCAAACTCGTGAGCATAGTCTATAGAAATATCCATATTTCATAACAAATTTAGACAAAATAATGATTAGTAAGTGCGCCTAGAAGTAGATAAATAATTCATTAGTCTTTCTCAAGCAGGCGTATGAGATTGAGTCTATGACTTCATGCATCATTCCATGCATGATCACACACACACACACACACACACATATATATATATATATATATATATCTGTGTGAGCGCGCGTTTATGGTATAGTGACAAACTTCTTCTAGCTAGATAGCGAGACGCCCGTTTCTACTGGGAAATAGGAATGAGGTTAAACGACTATAGCTAAGTTCGCAATCACATTAAGCTCTTATAGTGCTATCTGTATTTCTAACAGAAAAATATCAAACTTGATGAGTGAGTTTTATACTCACGAATTCGGTGTTTTAATCTTAGCTTTTCGTTGTTCTTCGAGTCTTTTGGTTTCAGATTTAAGCTTGCTTTTATGTTTATTTTGTAGGTTAGGTAGGAGATAGCATTTGGGATTGAGTTCGAGTGAATTGGAGACAAAAAGGAGCGTAAAAGGATCCCATTTAAAAAGAAAAGAGCGCCACGGCGTCAACGGGTCAAGGCTGCAGTTCGAAACATACAAAATATTGAGGGCCGCGACGCCAGTGGGGCGATTTGAAGGGCACTGCGGCGCTGGCCGCCAAAGTGAAGAGGGCGCGGCCCCGGCTTGCGAAAATGAAGAAAAGATATTGTGCGTGTATGAACCGTTTTTTAAAACGGTTTTTACATATTTTGAGAAGCATAAATTGAAAATAAAAATGAAACGACGTTTGTTTAGTAAATGTTTTGCAAACGAAAACAGTGAGAATGGTTTTTGTGAAGGAATTAGAAAACAGTTAAAATTTGTTTCACTTTTTTGTTTTCATTTTTTAGTACTTATCAACAATATCATAATATATTAATTAATAAACACGATTTCAATTTTTTATTATATTCAAAACAATCTCTTAAAAAACTAACCAAACTTAATTTCAGAATCGGTCTCAATATGATTCTCAAAACAATCTCATTTTTACTTTTTATTGAAAATAAAATTATTTTAAAACCAATTCTAAACGCACCCGTTGTTTTGTTTCCAAATGTACCCTTACGAACCCAAGTTTATAAATAAAACATTTGGCTGTAGAGAAGAGGGAGAATCACACGGACAACAAAGGAGAAGACGAATTTACCGAGACGGAGTTTGGCCTTCAAATTCACCAACCGTTTCTTCTTTTCTCTTTTCTCTACACTAAAAATTATGATTAGGATGTTTAATTTTTCAATTATGTTCTAATTTCATTTTCTAGGGCTACGATGTAGCCTGATCAGGATTGTTTAATATTCTTATTTTCAATTTAATTGATATTTATTCCATTATGCTGAGTGTTATAATCTGTTCTTAACACGTGCGAATGTTTGGCCAACCTTTGCATGATTTGGAATTTAATTATGAGACTGAGAAGTGATGGTTAAACATGTCTATGGATTATAATGCCATGAGAACATCATAAATTAGAGATAATTATGTGACTAGTGCGGTGATTATGACTTCCTATTCATAATGCATATTCTAACATGTTAAAATCTTAACAGAGATGTATTTTTTGCATGCTTGGGGTACGATTATTAATGCTTGAGAAAGATTAGTAATAAATTTTGTGAAATCTACTGTCAGCATATGAATAAATTGTTATGTCTGTTTTTTGGTCGGTGTCACAAAGAGTGTTACAACACTAGTTGTAACACTGATGACAGATGCGTTGAAATTAAACCAGCAAAAATGCGACATAGAATTGAAAACGTGCAGAAACAAAAAGTAATGCAAGGGAAAAACAAAAGAACACCAAAGATGATATCGCAGTTCGGTGCGCACACCTACTGTAACGCCCTTTAGAATTAAACATGTTTAATTATGCTAAACTGTGGATTATTAGTGTGTCTAATTTGATTTTCATAATTAATTAAGGGACTTTAAGTCATTTTCAATATTTATAATTACACCCCAAAGATTTTTGGAAAACACACTTAAATTTAATACATTTTCCTTTTTTTCATTTTTCTTTTTCTTTTTCCTTTTCTTTTCTTTTTCTTTTTCTTTTTTTTTTCTTTTCTTTTCCCCCCATTTCCTTCCCGTGCGCCCAGCCCCCCCTCTCTCTCTTTCTTTCCTTTTCTTTTTTTTCTTCTTCTTCTTCTCTGGTTCTCCCACGCACAACCTCTCTCTCTCTCTCTCTTTCTCCATTTTCTTCCACCGCCGGCCACCTCTCTCTCCGGGCTTCCTCCCGCCGGCGTCCTCTCTCTCTCTTGCTCTCTCTTTCCGGGTTTCTCTCTCCCTCTCTCTCTCTCTCGGCAGTTTGGCCGAAAATCTCAAAAAAAAAATAAAATAAAATAAACGAAAAACAGAAAAAATTGAGGGAGACGAAGCTCGAGCAACTGATTTGAGGTAAAACCCTTTGAAACCCACTCTTTGATTCGGATTTTAAGCTTGAGAAAGTTTGATTTTGGTTAGATTTGAATAATTTTGAGTTAGGGTTCGAGTTTGAACAGTTATTGTTGGAATTGAATGAAATTTAGGGATTTTTAGTTATTGGACTTGTTTAATTGATTAGAAACTGATTTTGATGGATTCTGGAGAATATATATTGAAATTGGATTTGAATTGCAGGTTTGGCATTTTTCCTATTTATGCCGGCATGCTGCCGAAATTTCTCTAGAAACTTGTTTTTAAACTGAAATTAAATAGGAAAAACCAAACCTATGAATTGGATTCTAATTTTTAAAGAACCCCCAAACTGAATTATAAAATCATTGTGAAAATTGGATTTGAGTCAAGGCACACTAATAGGAAACAATTAAACATGATTGAACTTAATTCGTTTTAGGAATGAGAAATACTTCCTAAGATATTGCTTTTGTGATAAAGCTAGTGGAGAAGTCAAGCATTAAGGCTTTAAGGAAAACGGAGGCTAGGAGAACTGAAGGCTAGCCCAGGTTTGATATCCAACAGGTAGGATATTCTTGTCCATATCCGTGTTAGCCTCATTTTAAATTATTTTGGTCAATGAAAATGTTTTGGAACAAAACAT